ATTAATACATATCTCATGAATTGCAACAAATTTGAATGCATAATTTCACTTAAATGACAGGTTCCGACAAAAGCCAAATCAACTGTTCGAGAATATCACTTCGTAAAATAAGCTATGATAAGATTTATGGCAATACTTCTCTACAACCTTCCATATATTTTTGTAATTATTTATAACCTTGTTTTTAATGAGTTAACCTTGTGTAAGATAATGTAGTTGACAATTGACGAATTTATATTCAACGTGGTTCGAACGTAAAACCATAAAAATATAAATCAATAGTATAAGAGCTTAGAAAATTTCCAAGTCTTCTCGAAAATCCCACTTTTCACATAAATTGGAATTGCATTCAATTAAAAGATTTCATTTATAATTTTTCTTGTACTTATAGAAAATCTTGTACTTATATTTTACCCAAAGTTAAATCTGAATGCTTTTTAAAAACTAAAACTTTAGCGGAGGAAAGAAATAAACTTTTTAACTTGAAAAAACTAACTACATACATATTTTAAATCTAATTTAAATATAAAGAGGTAGAAAAAGTTACTGCTTCCAATATAGGGTAAAATTACCGGTAAAGTGACTATATGTAATAAATGGTGATTAAACTTTGTCTGCCAAGTCGCCAGCAGTTTACTATTTGTTTGTCGAAAACGCATTTAATACGAAGTTTATTATTGTTTTTTTTTAAATAAATACGAAATTAGGACTATTTTATATTGTTCTAAAGATAACTGTATTTTCCGATTATTTCCTAAAATATTTCATCATTTTAGAAATGAAGCTCATAATGTTTACTATATTTCGAAAAATGTTTCAAAAGAAATGTTTTACATTAGCAATATCAACAGTTTTTTTAATCGTTAAAAAGTTTACATTTTTGAAAATCTTAGCCACATGTTCTAATAAGCGGTCGATCGACCACTGGCATAAAATTTCCTAATTTTGTCTTGTAGTGATCAAAATAGCACGAACTGGTTCCTAATCATCAGAGAAGTAACCAAAAAAAACTGATATTGTTCATCCAGCACAGAATTTCACTTCAGTTTAAAAAGCTTTAGCCTAAACAGAAAATGGAATAGAGGACAAGTACTTTTTGCCAATAATATGTATACAAATTCTCACCGTAGCCATCAGAAAATGATTACAGTTACTTTAACATCAAGCACGGATTTTCAATAGAAATCTTTATTTAATTTTTATCTTATTAAGATTATAATAAATCTTTATTAAGATTTTAACTTCACAAGCACGATGTATGTAGCTGCATGCACAGTTGCATATAAACCTAGTACTAAAATATGATGAAAAAAATTAAAATATATGACTTCCATATATATACAACAAGTACCCGTTCTGTACAATGATACAGAAATAGTTGCTGTACATATTGTTTGCAGCTTGCGTACAGCTTTGATGAAACTATTTTGTCAAATGAAAACTGTCTGACATTCGTAAATTAAAAACAATAAAATAAACAACTACAACAGAGACATTTTGTATTTAAAACTAGTTCATTTCACTTCGCATAGATACGTACTACTACTAATCAAACTGATTCGCCATCTTGAAAAATTTGTTCAGAACAAAGCTCTTATAGTCAAACAAATTATTTATTGATAATTTCATTTCTTGATTTTACACTTTTCCAATTGAATACAGAGAGTCTTATTAAAGCGTTATTTTAAAATAGTTTTAACAGTTCTAAATACGAAACAGCTTTCGCTTTATCTCATCTAAACGTAAGAAAAAAAGTTTGAGCTTTATATTTCCTTCGACAAGAAAAATGTGAAATTGAAGCAGACAAAATCTTGCGTATCATAATGCTACTACATTTTGCCAAAAGCCCTTTGGAGCCTTTTCGTATGATACCCTCAAAAAAAATCCGAAAAGATCTGTTACTGCTGAAGAATTGAATAAAATACATGCATGCGTAAAAGTAAAAGAAACTTCTGGAAGTAAATTTTAACTTTTGAAGCATAACAAGGCTGTAGTTTTGAAACTGAGTCGTCGTCTTTTACTTGCAGTTATTACTTCAGTTCAGTTCGCAACAATAACAATGTTTTTTTGTTCAATCTGAAATTCTTGAGACATTCCGTTAAGAAGATTGGCAGCAACATTTGTTTTTTCCATTTCTTAAACATTTTAAATCTTTCTAAGTTTTAAAAAGGCAGGAAGATACTGAACAACAGGAAATCTTTTTGTTTTATGATATAAAAAGATATAAAAAACTTTTATTTGTTAATTGTTTATCAAAGCACAAATGAAATAAAGATTGCTACAAAGTTATGAGTTAAAAGCGATGAAAATTCATTAGTCCACATTAACCGCTTGAAACCAGCGAAACATTTTCCTGCTCGATATTGGTTTACTTTAATTTTAAATCTTAATAAAAATACTTTTTTTGTAGTAACTGTTACTTAGTGTGGTTATTGGAGTTAACTCTAAGCTTTTCCTTTATTTTTCAAAAATAGTTATATGCATTTTAATCCGCACTTTAAGAATATCTTTATAAAAACTAAATAATTAAAGCTAATATTTTTCTAACTAAGGTCGATCCTGAGTTACGCTTTTCTTAAAGATTCTTTCCAGTTAACGGAACATTGTGCCTTCTTGGAACATCAAAAACAAACGATTAATTGTTGCTGTAGAGTAGAGTGGTAAACATTCCACATCATATAATTTAATGAGCCGACCTGGTGGCCCAGTGGTTAGCGTGCCTGACTGCGAAACCACTGGTCGCGGGTTCGAATCCTGCTCTGGGCATGGATGTTTCTTTTTCTCTCTGTGTTCTATGTCCTTTCTGCTTTGTGTGTGAGTGTGTGAATGTGACTCGCCCTATAAACGGGTTTATGGTTGTGTGACGTGGGCAACGCTGCTCCAACGCCGTGGTTTTGCCACAGGTGCCCACTGGGTAACGAGAAGAGAGTAGCAGTTCTGGCATTTCTGTGTCCAATGGGACAACCCCCAAGTGCCCTCCATTAAAAAAAAAATTATTGTTTCAATCATATTTTTGTTCACTTCTGTATGGTTTTGTTTACAGTAAAAAAATAATACTTATCTGTATTCATAGATTTTTTGTTTCAATTCAATAATATTTATCAAATTAAGACATGACTTAGAATAAGACATGATAAAATAATTAAGACATGAATTTCTGTACATACTTAAAAATATCTAATCTTTTAACCTAGATTTCAGTTTATTTATTCGTAACAAGTATTTCTGCATATTTTCAATTACTTACTTATCACTTATTTCTATTACTTATTTCATTCTGTTATATGATATATTTTACTCTGAACTGATAAAAAATCAATATTGATAATTTACTGAAGAATATTTATGCACTAAAGGTAGGCAACACTTTTATGTATTTATTCTTCTTTCCGTTTAAAGTGATGAATGATTCATGTCACTGATATAAATATGTATTTTATTCAAACAAGAAATAAATTTAAGAACAAGAAAAATAGTGAAAAATTAACACATTTAAATTAATTACTCTACGAAATGTATTTTTATCTTTATCAACACACAAAATTTCTAAGAAAAGCATACAAGTATTTTATAAAATTGAAATAAAACTAATAACTAAACAATTAAAAGTAATTTTACAAATTTAATAAAAAATTACAAAAAAATGAAAACTCGTCTTTTAAAAGTAATTAATAATTTTTTTCTTACACTAAACCCATTTGTTTGGAAAGTGTTGCCATTTTGCTACATTTTTTGAAAAAAGCATCATCCTCTTTAATTTTTAGCATTAGAATGGCAAATCTAATACGTATATTTCTCAATGATTCTGATCTAGTGGTGCTAATACGAAATCTAATTGGTTCCAAAATTTAACTTTAATAATTTATGTAGTTAGTATTTTGTGCAGAAGATGCAGTTATTAAATCGGAAAAATGCTCTTTCGCTTTATACCGATTTGGGCTCTTGACTTTTAGAATATGAGGATTTTGTATATCAATCTAGAAAATAAATACCAAATAATTGAGCCAGGAGAGAGATTGAAAATTACTCTTTTACTCTTATTATTACTCTTATTATTAAGAAAATTACTCTGAATACTCTTTTTCCACAATTATAAAACTCGTTTACTCAAAGATAGTACCTGGCAAAAAATATTGTTTAATAACTATTTATTACATTTTAATATTTAATTCAATAATAATCGAAAAAAATTTTTTACTTGTGCTAACTGCTCTAATTTGAGCGAGATCTCCTGTGATGTGGAAAATCAGGAAGGTACTCTTCTCTGATGTATAAAACTGAGATCTTAGAGCCATTTATAAGATTGTTCGAAGGTATTGCTGGTCACCAGTTTATTTTTATGAATAATATAGATTATTTCTGATTATATTATTTATTAATAGGACAATTATTTTCATGTATTTACGACTGTCACATAGGGCTGTATGGGATTAGAAATTAGAAAGAGATTCAGATAATAGAGTAACCAGCCAGATGTCCAAACTTATATCACGTCTGGGATGCTGTTTGCAGCTCTCTTCTCTTTTCACGGAAGCCTCCAGGGACCAAACATTGCTTTCATGAAGCTTCCTTAGTAATATTTATTGTTTATTACCCCCAGACTTTATAAAATCCCTCGTAAATCGATGAATAGAATGAGATTTTGTTGTGGGACCTGCAATTCCGTCGAAAGTGATATTACCCAATATTAAAACATCCACTAGTGCCATTTTGCTACATTATTCTTGGATAGTTTGTAGAGTTGGACAAAACGAATCATCTGAGTAATTCGAATAACTAATTCGAATCACTTATTAGTTAGGTTTGATGTATATTAATAAAAAACTTCATTTGGTTCATTAAAAAAATTTCATCTTTATCAAGTGACCCCTAGTGTGTTATACCATACTTAAGTATTTCCTCAAGAATATTGTTTATCATAACCTTGTTGATTGGAACGTGTGTTGAAACCTACATTTCACTGGAATACTAATCAGTTTATTTTATATATATATTTGCAGAGCCACATGCTTCCACCTTGCCAAGAGTGACATTTAGTCAAGGACAGGTGAGGACAGAAGAAGGTTCAGCCGCACAGCTGTCCTGCGTCGCACAGGGAAATCCTCCCCCTGCCTACAGGTACAATAATATTTTGTTTCATTTATAATGGGAAAATGTAAATCCGGAATTGTATACAATGCCAAAAACCAACAGACAATGTATGAAGCATATATATCATGAGATTATGATTTGTGTGTATCATTTGATAATAATTTCTTGGTGAAATAAGTAGAATTAGATTTCATTTTAACTCCTTTTAGTTGCTAGAAATGCTTCCCCGGGACCGCACGTTCCAAAAGTATAAATACTAAAGAGTACTTATACACTCACACGCCTAATATGAGATGTAATAAGAGAATTAAGTAGGTAATTAAGTAATGTATAAATTTCATACATTAATAATAATAAAATAGCAGGAATACGTGAGCTGTTCCCCTTGTATACGCTTAGAAAACCAACGTTTCTTTAAGACCAATTGCTTCTTCATAGTCTGTTTTCCTTTTTTCTTTTTTTGCATTCGTGCTCTTTTTACGTTGTTTATCTTTATTTATTCATATGCATACTATTCAATAAAAAAACAAGATAAAATAAATTAGTTTTTAGTATAAATCTACAAGTGAAGATAAATGCCGACAGTCTTACACAAATCAAAGTCTGATATTTTGTATCAAATTCTGAATAAATCATGTAAATTTAAAGCGTAATGTGGCAACGAACATCTAAAATTACCCTAGTAACGATTCAATTATTTGGAAATTGATTATTCGATTAATTACACATATAAGCATATGAATGACTGGTACAGCTGAAGAAGAATATTGTATATTGATATTAATTCTAGATCATGTTTAGGACTGGGCTATAAATCGATGTATCGAGACATATCGATTTAACGCATATATCGCCAAGACGATACAGCGACTTTCATTCAAGGCGATGCATCAGAAATCTGATTTAAGCCGTCGAGTAAAGACACGCAAGGATATAAGAAAACGATATAGCGATATAAGACTCTTCTTTTACGTTCCGATGTCGACTCGCGCTGTGGAAGACGATGTTCGTTTCGTTATGTTGGAATGGCCTCGATTGGTGAGCTGTAGAATCAGAATCAGAGTTTTGAGAACACATATCGTTATATCGCATGTTCCTTTTCGCACCTCTTAGCTTTTTTTTTCTTTGTCGCGACTTTTCTTGTAGATTATTTTCAGTGGGACTAACTTCGTGATCGCCGATGTTACCTTGTTCTGAAGGCAATCTATTATTGAAAAGAATATATAAAGAAGAGTTTCTTCATTAATTAGATAATTTTTTTTTAAAAAAAACTTCTTTTTATTTTTAAATGTGAAAATTATCGGCAATCTAATTTAGGCGCCCATAAAGAATTGAATTTGTTAGGTTATTTTTTTACTTTCTTTTAATTTATTAAAAACTTTTTGGATGAAACTTCTAATAATTTAATGAGTTTTTATTACTGATTTTAAATTTATAAATCTTGTTGTTTTTATTTTTAGAAATAAAGTTAAAACAAAATTTATTTTTGTCATTTGGATTTGGACATAAGTCAATCAACTTTGTTTATACAAAAAAATTTGAAAGGTTTGCGTATTTTATTCATTTTTTTAAATCATTTAGCACTTCGTTTTATTAGAGAGTATAATAATTTTTTTTTAAAAATATTCTTTTCATATTATTTGTTAATTATCTAAATATATTATCGAATATCAAATTTTTTTTTTTTTATGAAATTAAATCTTACTTTGTTTTTCGTTCATAATTCGGTCATTATTTAATTTAATTTAATTATTTATCTGAAATGATAAAGTCCCGCAGTTGACTGATCGTTAAGACACGGTTCACTGCAGATCACCGAAGTCAAGCATCACTGGCTGCGGTCAGTGTGCGGGTGAGTGACCACTTCGATCAGTCTGCGTAGGGACCGAGGGTGTGCGGTATTGGTCCTCGTTAAACTGTTCTACCGTAAAGTGCTCGACTTCTCGTGCAGGTCGTCGAACTATCGAAGTGGGGGTGCCATCCCATCTGCAGAGGATCAAAATTGTGATGGCATGTCTTTGGATCATCCTCAGGGATGTTTCCCAGACCGTCGCCAACAGCCCATTGTGCAGCTCTAGTGTGACGTAAATGAACTATAATAACTGAAATGATAATAATAAAAAATAGTGTTTTAAAAGCGTTTTTTTTATCTAAAATTTATTTAGCGCTTTGTTTTAAACATACAAATAATTTTTAACGTTTCATTTAGAAATTGAACATTACGATCGAACTTAATAATTATGTAATTATTTATGCGTAATAGTACAAGAAAATATTAATTTGTAAAAAATGCTTTAAAAAAAATTTTTAACACATTGTTTTACGCGTATTATTAATTTCTAAATAAGCATTTCAATAAATATTTTAAGTAAGATTTGTACATTGTAGTCAATTTATTTAATATCTTTCTTAAGCAAAACATATGTATCTTCAAATTTATAAATTGATTTAAATCAATCTGACTATGAAGTTTTGATAGAAATCTGACTTTCTGTGTCTTACAAGTAAATGAAATTCAAAAATACTACATCGCGATACATCGCTATATCGTGATGCAAAACTGACGATGCATCACGATACATAATTTTTAATATCGCCCAGTCCTAATCATGTTGAATACAATAAGAGTTTAAAAAAGATCTAGTGACAGACGATTCATAGATTATGGTACCTTTTATTTCTGGGACAAAGGAGATGTGATTAGGTAAATTTTCACTGCCCCTTTTTCTTTCAACTAAAATATTTCCTCCATGAATGCGATTTTCTCGCAGTTATTTCTCACAATCTTCAATTATGAAAATAGTATTCAAAATGACAAGCTCATAACTTTTTTTGCAAAAAATCGCGAAAGGAAAATTTTAAGTTTATAATAATAAAAGGGAGAGTTTGTCTGTTTGTATGTATGTGTGCGTCTCTTATAATTCAACTACGCTACTCAATTAATTGATTATTGTTCTATCATCTTGAAATTTGGACAGTAGTTGCAAGGGGCAAATCTAGCCCCCGATATAAAAATTTGTTTGACTTTTTCAATTCGTTCGGTAGAGCATTATGAAAAACAGCATTTTTTCATTGACTTAGTGACATAAACTTCACTGACTCATCGTTGATAAAAATGACACTGCTACAGACGATTTGTTTTCTTTCAAATATTTTAAAATTACATCAGTGATAGTTTATAGCTTAAAGCTCTCATTTAAGATAAGTTTTTAGCAACTTATTTAATTTATTTACTTTTTAATCATTTTGTCAGATAAACTCAATGATCAGCATGAACATGATAGCATTCATGAATTACGCCACTAAATTAGTATTTTTGAAGTTATTTGAAACCACTTGTCTATTTTGTTTATAGTCATGCTTTTAAAACTTGAATCTATAAAATTATATAAATGAAAATCAACTCTAATTGAAATTTAATAAAATAAGTTAAGTATCGAAAAGCAAAATTAATGGAGGAATAGTACTTATTTTTAAAGGGAAAGAGTACTACTATTATTGACGCCAAAGATACTTGATTACATTTATTGTTAGTTAATAATTTAAATAAAAAATAGGGTATGTTCTAAGAAAGAAAATTAAAGGAAAGGATGGTACTTATTCTTTTAGAGAAACCATAAAAGATTTTACAATAGATTGTTGTTATAATATTACTTACTCCAATGATGCTTAATTAATTTTGGTAATCTGTGCAAATTGAAATAAAAAATGAGCTGTGTACTAAAAAGAAAAAATAATAGAAAACCGGCATTAAATCGCTTAAGGAAAACGTAAAAAAATTGCTAAATTATTATTGGCACAAATGATGCATTCAGCTAGTAAGTAGTAAAATGACTTTGGGGCACAATATTTTTTCCCCAATTTTCAGCACTGGATGTTACTATCAGTAACAAATCTTTTCTCAGACTACCAGGATATGGTGAATTTCACAATGAATGGATTTAATTCTAATGATCGGGTTTTCTCAAATTAAGTATCAATCTTAACAATTCAAGGAGTTGACCTGAAATATGCAATGTAATTTAATATACACCGCGAAAAAAAATATGGTCAAAACAACCAGCATATGGTAAAATGTGCCGTGTTTCTAGCTCTATAGAAACACCAAAAATCTCGGTATTTTTGTTAACGATTTTGCTAAAATTAACAATAAAATATGGTTTCGTAATATGAGGTAAAATTTGATAATTTTACTCTTATACCTTAGACCATGAATTTTCTTTGGGTATAATACCTTAGAACCATTTATTAGGTTAAACTTAATTTTTCAGTTTTCTATTTTTTACCAATTGTGTAGTAAAAAGAACTATAATTTTTATAACTAGAATTTTCGGTAAATCGTTACCATATAACGGAAAAATTACCAAGTGAATAGGTTATTTACCATATATTTTAGCTTTAAAACCAAAATTTGTCTTAGAAAAGAAAGCGGAAGCACGGTAAAATAGGACAATTTTACCAGATTTTTTTCAGCATGTATATAATATATATTTATACTATCAATTCGAACTTTTTTAATGTGATATCTATCTCGCTGGAAATGCTATGTGTAAATCCTGTTAAATAATGGAGAAAAAAAATTGAGTCAAAGTATTAATTCGGAACTGATGCAACACAACTTAAAAATTACTTCGAAAACTTTACAGAATATGTTTGTTCAGAAACACTGAGATGTTTTTTTAGGTGCATCTTAGAAATTCTAGGAAATTTTCATCCTGAGCCATTATATTGTGCAAATTTATTTAAACGTTATTAAAGTTTAAAATTCTATTATGTGTCCTTGAAATATAGTAGTACTGTGGCGTAACTACCACTATAAATATTAAATACCAATTCACTAGTATATAAGACATGTTAACTTGATTCCATCATGAGGTACCTTTTGATAGATGAAGGTTGGCATAGTCTAAGACTAAACTCCCCACAGTACCATGTCGACTAGTTTTACCCTTCAATGTGGCACCCTTTTAAAATTACAGCAACTGGAATGATATTTCATTTCAACAATTTCTGCTCATTGGTGGCAG